CTGGGGAAGTTACTGTGCGTATCAGCAAGGAACTTGTTGGATTTCCAGATGCTCAATCATCTATGCAGACGGCGGGATATCAGACTGCCAATGAAAGGTAGGGTGTATAACGTTGCGATAAGGCTGGTGTTACTCTGTGGATCAGAGACCTGGTAAGTTCGCAATGAAGACATTAAACTCTTGGCCGTGTTTAACCACCGGTGCTTGTAGAATATTGCGCGCATTTAGTGAGAACACGGGACGAACAATGCTGAGTTCCGCCAGTGGGATTTTTGCAAAAAACCTAACATCCCACTCGAATGGTGGCTTAAGTTCAGCCGTTTGCGCTTGTTAGATCAGGTATTCCGTAAGCTCGTTGATAGCCTTCAACCGCGTGCATCATACGCCATCGCTGCACAAACTTGGGCCACATTTCGAGGTGGTCAGTCCATGGTGTGGTATAGAGGCATGAACAGATTACTGACAAGGTCAATCAGGTTGGTGCGCCTCTGTGGCACACAGGTTTGCGAACATCATAATGCCGTTCTACTGGGTCAGGCTAGGTGCTAAAAGCGTACAAATTTAGGTGGACACGAATGGGAAAGCCGCTTTCATAGTCTTCAAGTACATGAAAAGGAATGCGGTAATCCAGACGGGCAAAGATGTTCAAGAAATCAAGGTTGGTAATGTCAATGGCTTCTCCCGCGTCAAAAGTTTTAGTTAGGCTGACATGCACCAGTAGAAGTTTCGTCATATGTGGACCGCTTGGACAGAAGCCGTGTTGCTCGGCGAAATGATGTTGCAACGTTTCAATTACCCCAGATGTGCTTTTGCGTTAGTCACTACTGTGCTCTACAAAAGAGTGGGCATTACGAAACCAGTCTTATGATGTGGTGATGCAAAAAAGTGACAAATGACATTTACCAGAAAGAGAGGTTTCGGACGACAATTTATGGATTTAGCGCGGTTGCCCATCTTGTTCCTAGAAGCGACTATTCTGTGAGGTCACATAGCTGGAAGCTAAGCTTGTTCCGACAGATTTTAAAAAGCCATGCACAAGAGTAACAAGTGTAACAAGTCTAATAGTATATGGATTTCGATGTTGCTTCGTTCCAACATTTGCACCCCACCGAGCGGTTTCTTCCTCGTTTGGGCTCATTAGGTAGAGATGACCAGAGCTAAAAGTGGAAATCGGGGTCTAATGGTTAATTGCTGATATTTTGACCACTAAGTCACTGAGATCCACGAGCAACGATTGGCCCATCCTTTAGGAATTCAACTTAGGATTTGAAATGCTCGCCGTGTGGTTCGATTGTGACATGCAGTTTCTATCGAGATGACAATTTGCTTTGAAGTAGACTTCGGTCCTTCTGATCCAATGTGGAAGGGTTTTAATGCTGCTGTCTTCTAACACTGCAACCCCACTGTTGTGAAATTCAGTCCTTCAGGGACAAGCACTTATTCAGCAAAGTCAAGTCGGAGAAAATTACAGCATGTTCCGCAAGCCAAACTACTCGATATAAGTTGCAACTTCAAGTCAATAGCTAACAACCCTTCTGAGTTGATGTGTCTCCTTTGCTTCAGTTAAACAAACGGTGAATCGCTCACACGAATATCGGCCAATCCGAGTCCAGTAATCGAATCCGTTACACCCGCCTCCCATTGGCTGTCTGGCTAGCTCGGTTGGTCCATCCGCTCACTCTGATCTGACACTCCCAACACATCCTCCCTTTTTCATGTTCTTGCGCCTCCAAATTGCTATACACCCCGTGCATCTTGCCACTCCGCGTCATCTTCGCTGTATCTGCGACCGTGGTCTCCTTGTCCCATGCCATATGGTGCTCCACCCCTAATCCACATTGTTGTCTCCGGTGTTGTTTCAAATGCACTCGATTGCTTCTGAACATTTTCCTTTCAACATTAATTTCGTATAATCTGGCACCGACCCTCGTAGTTGACACACCTTTCTTCCATCACTCTTTGCTATCGGGTGCTAGTTGAACCCACACTTCCTCCCCTACTGTTAATTCCGGTAGTACTCGTGCAGCACAGTCGTAGTACCGTTTCCGCTTGGTTATCCGTCGCCTCAGATTGTTCTGTGATCGCTTACGCCGTGGTAAAACTAGGTGCAAAAGTGTGGCAGATGCCGTCATCAGAGTTCTAGTCCTTCGGCTGTATAGGCGCTGCACTGGGATCAAACCGATATTCGTTGAAAGTGTGTTACGATTCTCCAGTAGCATGAGGTACAGATCCTCGCCAGTTGCTCTAGCCTTTGGTAACAGTCGCTTGGCCTGCTTCACTGCGGACTCCGCCTTCCCATGCGATTGCCTGTGATATGGGCTGCTTTGTTGGTGCACGGATTTCAACTTGGTTGCTAAGTTCTGGAAAGTAGCGCTGGAAAACCGCGGATCATTTTCGCAGACCAGCTCCTCCGGTTTATCGTGCCGAGCGAACTGACATCCGAACTTGTGGATTACTGCCGCTGTGGTCGTAGTGGCGAGTAAATCGATTTCAAATAACCACTATAGTAATCCACCTGGAGAGATAGTAATCATTCCCGTTATCACTGAATAAATACATCACCACCTTCTGCCACGGTCGGTAAGGGACATCATACAGCATCATTGGTTCCCTCACCTGTCGGATTTCGTGTGAATGACACGCCTCACAATTCGATACATGAGCTCTTATTTGACCCGTCATTCCTGGCTAAAAGATCAAATTCGCTTGCTCAGTTAATGATATAATTGGCACGCAGGTGAGCGCGATAAACCTGCTTCAGCATCACTCCTCGGAGGGATGATGGAACCAGAATAGGGCTTCCTTTGCACAGAGATTTCATCCCAAAAATTTAAGTAAAGTCTTAGTTCCTTCGGCCGTTGCTTCTTCGTCACTGGCCACTCATTTAAAATAACCTCTCGCAAAGCTGAGAACGTTGCATCCTCCTCTGTGGCGCCTTATTTCCTTTAAGCGATCTTCTGTCACTGTCAGATGCTGTACTAGGTTACTGCTTCAACCTCTTCCGGATTATGCTCGAGTACCGGCAGGTGAGCTCTTGACAGCGTATCCGCGATGAACATCTGTCCACCAGACGTATACACAATATCCACGTCGTACTTTTAAAGCCGGATAACCATACTCTGAATTGCGACGAGGAACGACGTGCAACGGTTTCCTGACTATTGACACAAGCAATAGGTGCTCAGTATAAACAGTTCTCTTTCCTCCGAAAGTATAATCGCGAACATCTCCTTCACAATCTGTGTATAGCGTTGGTCATTCACGGGGGGTGCTCGACCTCTGAAATCCGAAGGTTTTTCCATTCTGTAAGAGAACAACACATATTCCGTCTTGGCTACTATCACACTGTACTCCAAAAGCTGGGGTGTGTCGTAATACTCGAGTACAGGCGCGTTGCTGATGTGGTTTCCTGTTCATATCCCCAATTCCACTTTACTCCTTTGTGAGTTAACTTCATGATCGGCGTCATGATATCAGCGAGTCTTGGCATAAAGCGGCTCCAGTAATTCACCATACCGTTTAAGCAATGGATTCCTTCACCTCGTTAGGTGGCGGCATCTCTGGAATTGCCTTACTTTTTCCTGTATCGGCCCTGATCCCTTGGGTAGTTAGCAAACGCCCACAGAAAATCACCGCGTCTTTCCGAACTTCAATTTTCTCACTTTTAAGCTTGATGTTTTTTTATACACAACGCTGCAAGAAACAGGGGATAGTATGGTCATGCTATAACTAACGACCCTTCTGGGTCGATGACCTTCCTCCTTTGCTTCGGTTAAACAAACGTTGAATCACTCACACGAATATCGGTCAATCCGAGTCCATTAATCGAATCCGTCACGCCCGCTTCCCATTGGCTGTCTGACTCGCTCGGTTGGTTCATCTGCTCACTCTGACTTGACACTCTCAGCACAATAACGACACCGAAACTCCTCCACTTCCCATGCGGTCCTGACAACAGGAGTGACCGAGGTCTCAATAGAGATTGCGTGCCGCAATCCAAACACACGGCGGGTGTAGCAAACCCAATTTTGAAGTCTAGCAGCAATTACGGAAGTTTTGCTAGGTGGAAGATAATGTGAACTCGTCATCACGGGATTCAGTAGGAATACACGTACCTCTGAAAGACGCACGGGTCAAGTGGCAGCATTAGACCGTCTATCTTCCACTGACATGGATCTGGTGCACTATAAGTTGCACCAGCTCCTCCGTGGCTACCAGGTACTGTCGATTCCATCCCGAAGTGACGAACTATGCCTTGAATTAGTAACTATCGTCCCATGGCATGCTGTAAGGCAGTTGAACCTAACGGAAGCCGAAAGAAGCGATTTAAATATGGTAACTTGATCCCGTTGCACAAATGTAAGCCAAATCTTTGCACAGCCCAGTCTATATTATTCACACTTGGGGCTAGTTTCTTTTTCAATGTTTAATGTGGACTAATGAGAAGGCTCCATAAAAACAGGGTCTTGTGGATTGAATTTCTTCTGGTTAGCCTTTTTCTTTTAGCCAATTGGCAGACATCGGTTTGTTATTCCTTCAACCCCGATTGTTTACAGTATACTAAAGTCTTTCTTTGTTCACCTTGTTGCGAAGCTTAAGCTGAATTTGTCGAACAGCTTCAAATGTAGTACAGCTACGGAGTTTACGGCCTGCATTTAACCTAGTGTAGTATGTAATGCAATCGTAAACTAATACTTGCTCACTTTCCAATGAACTCATCTGCCATTGAACGCTCAGTTAACAAATGAGGTTATGTTCTTACTTCCTTGGTTTGCTTGTGGCTAAACACTAAGTGCGCTCGTGAACAATGCCGGTACCTGCCTTATTGCTGAGTCTGAGAAAAGGTGTAGTGACTTTTTCTACCACAGTGACTTCTCTGGTACACTTCATATCTGAGCCGCGGTTAGTTACTAGACACTATAATCGACCATGATTAAGCATTTGCTTACTTTGAATCGGAATAAATTAACTCATCCCATATACCTGTGTTAATGTTTCAGAAATATTTAAACGTGGTGGCCCGACCGAACGCTCTGACCAAGCACAATTTCACCATATGGACGGGAGCCACGGTTCAGCAATTCAACCTTAAAGTGAGTGAACGCATCGTGACACGCATATACTCAGACTCCATGTTAAAACACACGAACATAAGAAGTCTTCAAGAAGGCACGCTGCTCGCTGACTTTTCAAGACTTACTGATTCTTTGTCCCAACATTTTATTAGCTGATGACCACGTCAGCAGAGGATGACATCAGCTAAGACAGTGTATTTAGAAATGGACTTGTCTACCTAAGGTATTCCGAGATAGTCATGAAATCACAGGGCATAATGAACTCAGTGGAGTTAACTTCTGACTGTGACTGGTAACCACTACAGGATACCTGCATGCGTATAGGGACCACGACGGTTTGTTCATCAACGCGACACCGCCCATGCCCACTGTTAACTCGCTTTGACTCGACTGAAGGCACATGGGTAAAAGACACTGCCTGTAAGAAGCAGGTGGTTAAGAAAACTAATACCTAGTCCAAGCATTTCTTATAAGTGACGTCCCGCCAAATTTATATCAACGGCTAGAGATTGCAGTCACAAAGTCTACCGTGAGAAAATCTGCACACTTCATGACTGGCTGAATCTTGTGGTCGCTCATTAATTGTAGTTTGGCAGTAGTAGTATTACTGGCACGGCGCAACGGCCCTAACTTCTGCCATCCTAGCAAACCTCTTTCTACCATCCCTACCAAGAAGATTGCGCCAGAACTTTACTAGTGTCTAGTAGCCACCTTTTGAAGTCATTGGCTTGATTGATGGTGTTTGACGGATGAATGCAACCAGGCTAGTGTTTGTACAGGTCTAAGCCGAACGTCGTATGTTAGGAGGAGGTAAGTTTGAATAATATCCATCAAAACGTAATCACCCATTGACATCTAAGAACGTAGAATGAGCTTCTGAGGTACGCATGCCTGATCAAGCTAATGGATCGGAATTACGGAAACGATAAACGTAAAGTTATGGCGTGGTTAGTGAAGCAACTTAGCTCCATTACCTACAGAAAAGGATGGTGTTCATATTCAGTACTCCTTAGTTGGTAACATACGGTGTTTGAGAATGCTTGCGCATATTTAAGGATATCATCAAGGGAGTATTACTGAAGTACGCTGTTTAGTGCTTGGGAGGAACCACCGCTCTGAAGGATAAACTTGGACCGCTTACACTGGTTAGGTCAATATCATTGGTTGCTCGTTAGTCGCCTTTCTCGGTTTGCACTCTATTTTGGCGCTGCAGCTGTCTAAGTGAAGTTGTAAGGTGGCCAGCCACTGACGTGATCAGGCTAGTAATTGACCACCTCATGGATGGAGGCCTCATGCTAAGCCACATCAGTGGTTGGAGACCTTTCCTAGCATAAGGCAGTTGCGGAACCAATGGTGCTCCTATATTCATTCTCGTGCAGCTAATTGTTAATATCCCAACCCGATGCATTGTATGCAATTAATCCTTGTTTCTCTTTTCTTCATGATAAGTTTATGCTTTACCTGTTTTTTTCTCCATACTCTTGTCCGTCGTTAACCTAGACACGCGGCTAGTGGCGACTGGATTAGTCGCCTTCTGGTGCCCAGATTATAACGTATGTTACCGAATATAAGCCCTTCCATAGATAAGGCGACAGCTTGACTGTAACATCAAATTTGACCAAAGTCGTAAGTCCATGTGCTAAATGACCCCCTAAAAAATCCGCAAAAGAGAAACGACATTGTTTCTCCGTGATTTCGACCTCATCACTATTTGCTCTCACTTGAGTGAGTTCAAGTGAAACCTGCTCTACTATTGGTCAGCTGTGGTGACCGTAATGTTATAATCGCGATTAATGGGGCCTAGGGCCGTTAGAACAGACTTTCACCGCACCGAATAGTGTATTGAACAGACGTCAATTCTCATGAAACAGGTAAGACACCCGACAATATATGGTAAGGTGAGAGTGTGTCAGACACACTGCCTAGCATACTCGGGGCCTCATGCATATGAACCGCAGTAGAGCAGTGGGTGAGAGTGGAGTTCACGGGCAGAGGTGTGGCACGGTGTTGTAGTTTTCAGGCACGGATCGCCTCAATCAACAATCAAATCAACGACAGCAGTACATCAGCCACTTGAACTGATGCTTCACAGCCATACAACCATGATAACCTATGGAAAAAAGAATAATATGTGGGATGGAAGGGGGACTTACCTGAAAACCTTAATTCTCTAAGCAAACGTTCAGGGTCAAGGCGCCTACACTTTGTGTTAGCAACATACCGTCACAAAAAGCTGGATATCGAGCAAAGATAAGGCGGCATCGGCAAAACAGCTTTCTTACGGCTTTCACTGCCCCGCTTCATAATCAGCCATTACCCCGTAGATAACACAGCAGCAAACACATGTTAAACAGGCAGTCCAACTACGCGGCAGCAGACGAGCCACTGTTGCTGACTGCGAGCCACTTCCTGTAAAGTCTCGGGCCAAGCAAAAGGCGCGACACTGAGACTCCAGCCGGGAAGGCAAGACGGACCGACGGCACCAAGTTTGGTCGTCAGTGACTTCATTTCACGCGGCCAAATCGGCTTCTCGAGCCTCCCGCCACCCCACATCTGGCAGTCTAAACAAGGCCCTCCTAGGTCAGTATTGACCAGGCAATCGTAGTACGTGCCAAAATCAAAACAACTTATTCAGTGCTATCTGTTGTACTAGGGAACTAGTTTGGTTGTCACTGCATAGTACTCGCCTACGCACATCATCTTTGCGGATACGCTGATGCCATTTGACAACAGCAATACTCCGCAGACAACCATGATCGAAGACTTGAAGGCGCCTCAGATCTTCAGACCAAAGAGGCCAAGTCTCAATCCCATAGAGCAGGATGGCTCTCACCGTAGCCTTGTATACGCGGCCTTTCAAACGGAGGGAGACGTCCTTCTTCGGCCAAAGATGCCGCAGGTTCAAGAAGGCAGTTCTGGCTTTTGCAATGCGTGAACTAACCAATTTCTATACGCCCATCTTTGGTGTGAATCGACCAACCATCTCGAGTTCCACGTTATCAAGGGTCAAAAGGTCATCAAATGGCTGGTGGTCCTGCAGCAACACTTTGCACTTTGAAGGTGTAAAGCGTATACCCATTAATGGGACCACCCTGGACAAGCTATTCAGGGTTGATTGTGCCGCATCAACATCGTTAAACAGTAAGACGATATCGTCCGTATAATCAAGATCAACTAACCTTTCACCAGGCATGACCTCGACGCCTACATCGTGTGATTCCTTAGGGGAACAATTCAAGTTGGAGTCCACGACGAAATTGAACCAAAACGGGGAAATCGGACAACCCTGACGAACCCCACTTGTTGTCGGAAAGCTATGCGACGTGTCACCGTAAAACCTGACGTGGCCTGTAGTTTTCTAGTACAGAGTACGTAAGGTGTTCACATATTTCGTGAAAACACCTGTGCGCGATAGTAGTTCGAACAGAATTAATCGATGCACTAAATCGAACGCAATCTTGAAACCGAGGAACACCGCTATTGTCGGTTTGCGGTATGCGTGGCGCTGCTCTAGCACCTGTCGCAGAGTGAATATATGGTCTATACAAACACGTCCTGGGCGGAAACCAACCTGCACTTTTCTATCCAAAGTTCCCGTTCCGTAATTAGAGGACGAACGAGAATTGAGGCCAGTAATTTCGTCACAACTGGCGTTAGACTAATACTCCTGTGGTTAGCACAGTCGGTGCGACTGCCCTTCTTTTATATTGCCACTATCATCGGGAAGGTATATTCTATCCAGACATGTTCAAATAAAGTGGTTAGTGCTTTTCAGAGGACATCAGCTCCATACCTAGATTGTGCAGATGGGAGGGAATCAGGGCCAGCAGCACGAAAACGATTGGGGGCTATGTTCGCGTTTCGGACCTCAGCCTCCGATGGAGCCTTTAGAATAACCGTCCACGGCTTGTGCTGCATCACCTGAGTAGGAAGGGGTCCGGGAGCAGGTGGCTAACTGAAATGATCTTGAAAGTGCTCAGCCCAACAAGCCATACGGCGCTCCTTATTGGGTATCAGTGCACACGCGCTGTCCCTGTTTGTCTCATTGACGCCTGGTTTCCTTGGACCAGTGGTGCGGATCAGTTGGAAGAGCTTGTAGTAATTTACTACTGCTCATGCCTCCACCATTTCTTGACCCCGACTGGTCCACTAGGCTTTCTTGTCAGTACGCAGCCTACGCTATAGTTCGCGTCTAATAGTCCGGCTGGTAACATTGTGGTCAGAACCAGCTGGAAGTTTGCTTTCGGATTCCAACAGGTTCACCGACCTCTCGGATATCCAGTGACTGGTGCGGTGACAATTGATAGTGCCACAAGCAGATGCTCCTGCGTCTTGCATGGCAGCCGAGATCCTATTCCACTGAAGCTCAGTGTCATTCGGACAAGAAGGCGAAAGTACGGTACACAGTGAATCTTGATAGGCTTGTCTGACAGAGGGCTGAGACAATTTCTCAGTTGCCAATCGGAGTAGAGGCTTGCTGAGCCTCCCGGACAAGTTCATGGAGGAACAACAGCGTAGTAAGGCATGATCAGAGTCGACGCTGGCATTCCAGAATGAATGGCAATCAAGATGGAGCCACGCCATCTACTACTTATGGCCATGTGATCAAGTTTGATCCATCGCTGGCCGGCTACAGGAGGACGAAAAGTGGCACTATTGTGCCCAGTGTGTCTAAAGACAGTTCTAATAAGAAACAACTGGTGATCAGCACACAGTTGCAAAAGACGCTCGCCGATGTCAGTCCGTTCTGAGTTAAGCCCATAATTGCCACCTAGCTGAGCGTGTTCGGTGTTAAAAAGCAATACATGTGCGTATATGTCCCCACAAATACAATGATATTTAAGCCAGTAGCACTGTGTAGTCGTTGGATCAGTTCGTAAAAAATGTGCACTTAGCAGAATCAGAAATGAAGTTGTTGCGCGCACAAACGAAAATCACAAACAGATGGAGTTTTGCACTGATACAAGAATCAACCTAAGTTGATGTATACAAACAGGACTCAAAAAGGTTGTAGAGAAAACCATAAAACAACGATAACAGATGGGAAAAAGGAAGTACAAACTTTGGACCGAGGGGCCCAATGCGGGTCCGTGTCATCCTAACTAACCCGCGGACCTCACATAAACTAATGATTTCAAGCTTGGATTTTCCCATGCACACAACATCACGTAGACTACCAAAAATTAAGAACTTACTCAGTACAACAAACTAATCTCAATAAATGTTACCGTCAGTTGGATAAAGACAGATTACAAGAAATTCATACAGTTGCTCAGATTCTTTGGCTCGGCACACATGTGCAAGCAGATATCCTCAGTTTTGCAATTTAACGATAACCGTGTGAGGACGAGACAAAGTGCTTCTCAACAA